TTTTATGATGATGTATCATGTACCATCGGCTGACCAAATTCAACGTTAATGGGAGAAGCTTTAATAAATATAAACAACTTTTAAATAATTAAAATAAAAATAGAAAGAGAGAAAAAGTTTAGATCAAGTGGAAGTGGGAAGTGGGAGGTGGGAGATATTATAGATCTTCTTTGTAAAACAACAAAAAGAAAGGCACTAAAAAGTCAATTGATTGGGAATTTTATGGAAAAATAAAAAGTAATTTGATTGGGAAAAATACGTTTCCACGAGTTGGGGATCTAATTGAATAGCTTTCTTGGCAAGTTTTGTTTCGTTTTCTTCTTTTCCCCATTGTTCTCTGCGTTAGTTTCCCAGAGAGGAATACAAGTATACAACAACTATTATTGTTGATGAGATTTCTGTCCGAAGCGATACGTCACGAGTTGAAGTGAACTCCAAGACAAGTCAGTTGATAAACTGTAAGTGAATTTTTATACTGATATAGTTTTGACCACTTATACTTTGAAACTTAATTAGTACTTAATTTGAACCATTTTGAGCTGAGTTTAATACAATTTTCTTAGAGATTGTGTACTTCTAGAAATGTGAGACTCCAAGGGAGCTTTAGAAACTCATATCTGGTGTGAATAAATTTTCCATCAATGTCAACCTTATTCCTTATGATTGTATAGATGAGATTCTCACTATATATCATTCTTTCATAGCTTGGCGCTAAGTAGATTTGTCTTTCGGATCGGCAGCAAGTAATTCTATCGGTCTCACTTCACCCTCTACATGTTAACTGAGGCCCGACTATACATTCTCAAATGAGTCATGAATAGCCTATGTGACAGGCTTTGAACCTTTCTATAATAGATAAAATTTAGAATTAAAAAACTACAATATCAATAATATATATTCAATTGAATGGATTCACCTTTAAAGGAAAAATTGTTATTACATTAACTAAAAAAACGGTAGACACTCATAACCTCTTAATTGTAAGTATATGTAAATTACCGTTGAGTTATGTTCGTTTTTGTTTCAAAATCTATTTAAAAAGAAAACTAATCATATTACAATATTTACCGAATGAAATGTCCTTAATAAAATTGTAGGTATTTTTAAAGTAAGAGTGGAAGAGAGATTTCAACCTCTAATTTTTAGGAAGGTTACAAAGGTGTGTTTGAGAGTGATTTTGACTCTTTTAATGTTGCCAAAATTACTTTCATTTCCGATCAAAAGTAGATAAGATAATTTAATTCTATATTTTTTTTATAGTGCTTCATGTTGGGGCGGGGATTTGATTGGAGGCATATGTCAATTACTACCGAGTTATGCGGCTTTGACAATTTAATTCTATCTTAATTGTTTATCACTTGGAGAAGTGCCAACTTGATTATAGTCTAATAGCATTATAAATATTTTTCAGGACAAATATAAATAGCCAAAAGAAACAGCAGAGCGGGACTACTCGGTTGGGCTTCCTCATTTCTTCGTGGGCTTAGAGTGCATTTTCCGTTCTGAATCGGGGTCCCTAATCATGCTATAAAGCGTAGCCCATCAAGTAGAAAATTGATAGGAATTAAACAATTTTTATTATTAAAGATAAACCAACATTTTCATTTAAACTTCTTATGAACCAGAAATTACATTAAATATGAATAGTAAGTCTAAAACAATATGAAGACATGTTTTGGCCCTGAAGATGTAACGTTGTAACGTTCTATTCATGTATGATGTTTTTAATATGATTTTAGTTTAGTGAATAAGATACTAATTATTTGAGTGTAATCAATAATAAAAATAAAAAAAGAAGAGAACAAAATTCATCATTAATATCTTATGCTAAAGCGAAATAATGCATTGGGAAATTTATTTCTAAATCAAAAAACTAATCCTAAACTTCTATTAAAGTAACAAGTTAATATCTAAACTTTAAAAGTAACGATTTGGCATGCAGTTTAAAATTGATTACAATTTAGTCACTATCCTTAAAAATATCTATATGTACAAATTAAATAATCGGGTGTATAAGTCGATTCATCTCTAATCGTTTTAAACTACTACTTTTAGATATTAAAAAGGAAAATATTTGTCTCCTCAACAATGAGGTTCACCTTAAATATTTGACAATTAAGGGGATAAATGCAAAAATATAAATCCTTTTTAAATAATAATGATTTGTAAAATATTTAATAATAAACTATCATGGATGGTTCATTAATAAAGGGGTTAGAATTAATTAGGAGGAAATGAGTTTAAATTGCAGGATGGCTTGCTATGTCAGAGATTAATAATTCCATGATGTTTGCACGTAGATCTACAATAAAAGACTCTAATTTGATTAAATAAAGAAAATTACCGTGATGATCGATATATTTTGCCGAGTTTAGCCTTTTAGGTAACATTTGGATTTTCCAAAAAAAAAAAACAAAGATTGTCATTTTCGAGAACACAGTAGAAAGAATAAAAAAGATTTAACATTCAATATTAAGACCCAAAAAGAAACAATCACGGCGGTCAGAATTGTCAAATGTAAAATAAACGGCTGAGATGCAAAGATTGGTGCTATATTTAGCAAAAAAAAACAAATTAAGAAAGAGCCTCGTGAGGCCAAAAGAGCAGCGTTTAGTATCACCCGCTGTCTCTCGTCTTTGATGACAGCAATGTGAAAGACCACACCGTATCTGCCACGTGTAAATTTATCTTCCACGTACTTCACCGAAAGAAATTTTCTTCTCTTCCCCCGGCAAAGTGGAGGACCACGGTTTTCAAGTAGTCAGGTAAAAAAGGGAAAATATTACAATTCCTTTCCAAGAAAACCCTAGTTTATTTCGTACCCTCTGTTCTCCCTCCAGGGGTACTTGCGTAACTTCAGTTTCAACCTTTTTATTATAGTTGATATTTCGTGTATGATGTAATTATATACGGGAGAACAGAGCGTTTTCACCGCCATATAGGATTCCAATTCTAATTTCATGAAATATTGAACAATTTTTGTTATCAGATCGGATAATCTCTTCCTCTTGCTTTGAACAGTGGGAGAATTCCAGCGAAATTTTGGAGGAAGAGGAGAGAATGCATTCGTTAACCTTCAAGGTTTTAGGTGATTTTAATGCGGGATCGAAGATGATTTCACATGGGCGAGGAAGCTCTTGTTTTCCGGAAATGGAGGTCGGGACAATGAGGTGTTTCAGGAGTCGTCGAGCATTAGGAAGAACGTGTAGGATCGTAGCATGCGCTACGGAGAGGAATGGTGATGGTGGTGGAAGCCAGAGTGCGAGTACGAGTTCGAGTCGTTCTTTTCTGTCCCGCAGTGAAACGTATGCTCTACTGAAGCAGCAAATGGAGGTTGCCGCTAAGTCTGAGGTCTCCCTCTCTTTTTCTTCTTCTTCTCTCTCTTTCTCTCTGGAACAATCACTACCTCGAGCAGAAAATTCGCGCGTCTGGTGGAATTAGTTATGTCGGATTAGTAACTAATGCCGGATCATCTTTTAGCTGTTAGTTAGATTGACTCGACATCGATTCTGGTTAAGGATCCTTGTTGTACTAATTTGTGTTTATTTACGATCAGATGTTTGTTTCATCGTGTTCTACTGTTTTCTCTGTGCTGAAGTTCTCTTATGTCCGCATCCTCTTTTTCTCATGGATTCCATTTTTCCATATAAGAAATGGTTGCGTAGGTAGACAGTATCGGGACTGGATACTCTCTCGCAATTTGGATATGCTTGTTGGGAGGAGTGGGGGTCGAGGAATCGGGAGAAGAGAAATTCCGTCGTTCACTCATTTTCTCTTCATTTATGGCCTGAAAAAGTTCGAGTTTCCGGCTATATGCTGTTGAGAATATTGTTGTTCTATAGCTGTAACTTACTCTAATTAGTCTGTTATCCGTTGAATAGTTAGTAAAGATTGATTAAGTCTATTTAGTCTAAAGCACTGATTAGTTATGTAAACGTGTTGAGATTGCTTAATGATATCGGAGACCCAATTAATCATATGCATCCTAGAGTTTTGATATTTTGCCCTTGGAACAATTGTTATCTTGCAGCTTTGAAATACTACAATCATTTTATGGATTTTTTTTTTTGTATATTATTTGTTAAATCTAGGATTATGAAGAAGCTGCTAGGATTCGTGACTCGTTAAAATTATTTGAAGAGGAAGAGCCAGTTTTGCGTCTTCGAAGACTGATGAAGGAGGCTATTTCTAGTGAGAGATTTGAGGTACACATTTTTTCTATGTGATTGGCAATATTTTCATTTTATTTGAAAGTAGACTTAAATGGAATATTCTATCTGCCCTCCAATAACTGCATGATTGCCGTATTCGATCATTTTATTGCTTTCATTGTTCCTTATCTGTTTTCTGGTGGTACTTTAATGATTTGAGCTCTCTTTTATCCTTGATTGCATCCTTTTCTTATCTTATCTTTGCTATAACATTTTTTGTGTCTTGATGTTGCTTGAATCGCTCGACTCTGATGATAAATTCCTGCTGCAATGCAATGAAAGTCATAAAATAGAAAAATGCCACCTATTTCCCTATTCTATGAATGACTGATAAATATAATGACTTCAAAGGCAATAGACAGATGTCTTCTTCATTTTTTGCCCTTGCAGATTAATAATTTAATAATATATTTTATTAGTTTATGTACAAGCTTGGCATGAGCCTGCAACCTTGATCCACTCCTCAACTTCATTTCATTTCATGATGCCGTGTTTTCACCGTTACCTTTTGCCATTAATCTGTTAGCAAACCTGTTTTTCAGGATGCTGCTAAATATCGTGATGAGCTGAATGAAATTGCCCCTCACTGTCTTTTGAAGTGTGCAAGTGATGCAACAACTTCGGTACAACTCTTGATCTTCTTTGAATGTTGTTGGCTGGGGATGGTGGATTAAATACCATATCATTTTTTTTTTAATTACAGAAGTAACCTCCTCTTGCTATCTGAATCAAACATACTGTGCTATATTCTACCTAATAATCTCTATCCTCTTTAATTCGTAAAGAGTTAGAAAATAACAATGCTTTTCTCATTAAGAATAAGTTGATCAGACAATGGAGTATGTAGAAGCTAGAATCTTCATGCAAGTGAGAGGATGAAAAATTGACAACAGACTATAATTTTAATGAGTGTTCTGTAGGGTATCAGGGTACAAGTTAGGAGCATTTACATAGAAGGCCGAAGCCAACCTTCGAAGAATCAGTACTTCTTTGCATACAGAATAAGAATAACCAATAATTCAAACCGTCCAGTTCAACTTCTCAGAAGACATTGGATTATCACTGATGCTAATGGGAAAACAGAAAATGTCTGGTAAGTTTGATTTGCTTCTGTATATTCCTTCGTGATTCATGAAGTCTCTGAGGGTGTTCTCCAACTCAACCTGGTCATTTTATTTCATTTTTCAGGGGCGTTGGTGTTATTGGTGAACAACCAGTTATACTTCCCAAGACTGGTTTTGAATATTCATCTGCATGCCCATTAAGTACTGCTAATGGCAGAATGGTTAGAATTATTTTACTTATGTGAACTTCTTGTAGTTTAGATTTTTTCCTGTCTATATTAGCGTGTAGATGTATATTTTCCTGATCACAGAAAGGGACTGCTATAGAGTATTGTTTGAACTTATTCAGAGTGAAGTTCATAGTAAAAATTGTTTGCATAAATTCCAAATGGACTTAAAACAGCCGTCACAATATCCATGGGAATTTGTAACTCACATGTGGAGTGCACACTTCAAGCACGACTTCATTGGGAATTTTTAATTTTGAGACCTTTTTAGCGAGACATCTCTGATGATATATTCTTTCATTCTAATTTATATCTAACAAGGTAAGAGAGCTGTAAACTCGGACATGTCTAACAAGCCTGAACCACCATGGTAGATGATAAAGAAAAATAAAAAATCTCACAAAGCATTACTCTGGAAATTGCATTGCTGCCAGTAAACTATTATCTTTTGATAATTTCTTATTCACATTGCATATCATATCATGCTTTTTATCTCCATTCAACTCTTTATAGGTTAATTTTTCCATATTTGTTGTAGCTGAGGTGGACAGTCTGGAAGCAGGGTTCTTTAGTAGAATCTTAATCTCGCTCGTGAATTCGTGATTTTCTGATTCTTGTGTAGAAAGTTGGGGAATTATTACCTGCCATTAATGTGGGTTAGGAACCTGAGTTCCTCTTACTAAATGTGGTGCAGGAAGGTGACTTTGAAATGAAATACATTGACAGAGTGGGTGAACAATCATTTAATGTGGCTATTGCTCCGTTTTCTCTCTCCATATTAGGAGACAACACAGACGCATTCTGAAGTGCAAACTGCAACCTAAAGTCAGCCTTGCAGAGGCTTTTCGGGACATCAAGAAGTTCGTCAGAAATGCTGTTTGCATATTTTGTAGATATTCATTTCTTGGGGATGCTGAAGACCAAAGCTTGCTAACAAATCCATTGTATTCTCAAATGAATCTGGAAATGTTAGGAGTTTCTTATGTTTGCAAACTCCGGAGAGAGTTGTTGTAAAGATCAATATGTATAGACGTGTGGCAACTTTAAGTGAATAGGTAGACCTAATTCATTATCGCAAAGCTTCAATAAGATTGAAGTTGGACCATATTGATTCAAGAATTGTCTCTATCGAGAAAACCCATTTATCCCAGATTAATATTACACCCGTCTTGATGATTAAAAGCGGCGAGAATCTCATATTTATGTTCAGTTCTACAACGCAGTCTTGCTTTAAATTATCTTTCTGATAGGTTTTAATGCTTCTTCTTCCCCAAACTGCTGCGTTGAATGATTGGTCAACGGAGTGAATATGCTTATTCAAATTGTTGTTATTAGTTATTAATGTCATTTACCCCTTTCGCTTTGCCTCTGCCTTTTGTCCATTGATTTAACTGATTCCAGTACCTGAAATTTGCAGAAGCTTTGCGCGAGTTGAATACAAGCTTGGCGCTCTCTCTTGACCAGCGCAGCAGTGAATCGGTATAATGTATAAATAAATGAACATTATTCCTGCCAACTATTTTACATTATTTGAAAGCCCATTTACTATGTCTATACAGCGGCTTAATGCCTCTAAAAATCAACCTCTCCCAATTAACCAATACCAGGGATTCTCACTGCCAATTAAGGTGCATGATCTAGCTTAGCCTATCAACATTCCACCCCAGAACATTAGTAATAATATGTCAAATTCAACGTAGTAAAGATATATAAAATGCCTTTGATTTGGTTTTAGGAAAAGGCCACCCCATAAAAGAAATGGAGTCTCTCTGGTTCTTGGAAGAAGGGCACTTTTTGGCGAACCAATCCTGCTCATATTCACGGCTTCTCAGAACAGTGAGTTGATGCACAGTATTCAGGTGAGTGTTCGAAGCATTGAAGAGTGTTGGTTACAGTTTTCTAATGCTTGGTTTGTATTCGTATTGCTTATTTTTTCTTCTTACAGTTCGAGTTCATTACTTGTGCTGCACAACAAACTCCAGAGGTTGAAGGCGTGAAAAATTCAATTGCTTAGCCACTACATCTTGGCTTGCTTTCTTGAAACTTTTCAGACGAAATTCGATATATGCATTAACCTCCTCTCCTCCCTCGCATTCTGCATTTTTTAACCGCATGGGAGCTTGGTTTCAGTCTCTTTCCCAGTCCAAAACCACCAGGTTTCTCTCTCTATCTCTCTGTCTCATTTTTTCACTACAAATATGCTTTTTTCGATGTTGTAGGAGGGAGGTTGCGAATAAGGGTCTGCAGCATTAGTTTGTAATTTGAATATTTCTTTGGTTCTTCTCACTTAGCTTCATTTCTGAACGAATTTCTTCTTTATTTAATTATTAGTTTGAATGGCCAAAAAAGGAAAAAGGAAAAAGCAACATGTGTATGTATTTAAATTGAGAAAATAAATCAATGTTATTTTCACTTGACATAAAGGAAACTATTTTCTTCCCAAGTTGATCAGAGTAACTTCGCTTTATGCCTTTTGATTCACTGTTTATGATCTTCTATATTTTACTTTATTCTAGCTAGCTGTATTTTTTTTTTCCTTCTCTCTTTTTGCTTCAATATAGACAGAGAAGGAAAAAAAAATACACGAAGTAGTTTCTCACAGAATTCCCCAACTTCACAGGAAGAGCAGCAGGATGGAAGATGGACCTTGGAATTTGCTTACAGGTGATCAAAATATAACCTTGCTATTTATTTATTTTTAAATTATATAACATAATCTAGACAAACATATACATCTTTCCTTCACATTGGTAATCTAGACAGGAATGGTATGTAAAGTTATGTTTGAAATCGTATTCAAATTTTTAAATTTTTTGAAAATCTGATTAATCTTTTAAAATTTATGAACGGGTAAAAAAGATTCTTGTTGAGTTGAATAACTGTGGGGTGGAAGATCTAATCATCTCCCCTGATACGAGTTATGAAGCAAAATTAGGTGAAGAAATATCCAGAAGTATTATTGTAGTACCGAAGTATTTGGTACCATCGTTGGCTTTTCGAATGCTTTTTTGGATAAACTCTTTATATATATATATATACACATTATTGGGTGGTTTTTTTGACCACAATGGAAAGGAGTGGCAATGCATGAAGTTGAAGGGCAAGTGTCGTACAAAAGAAACCCATTTGTGATGAAGTTTTAGAATGAGAGGGTGAAGGTCACATGTTAGGGTCCCACCCCAAAAACACAGCAATCTCATGGCTTTGTCATAAAGCTAACACCATGATTGTATCTTTTAGATGATAAACGACATTATGCACCCAATCGCTACAGCAGCCTCCTAATGTAATGCCTCTTATGCTTCCCAGAGTTGTGATGATTTCCATCTTGATTGATCGTGGATTGGCCCAAAATCATTGGTCAAAACTTGGGTCCCACCAGCCAATTATGGTGCTTCACTTTTTTCAATTCTCTTTGTTTTGCAGCACAAAATGCCTCACACTCACTATTAGATGGTGTTATTATTATTCATTATTATCCTCTACTAGATCTTGTAAGCTATCATAGTTGAGAAAAGTGTGCGTTTGTTTTATTTAATTTAATAAATTTATAAAATTATATTTTGAACATTAATTAATTAGGTGTTTGATCTGTCTAACACTTATCTCTTGCCGATCACCATTAAATTTCTGATAATTTGAAGAGAAAAATGTAGAAGGAGATTTTTTCTTCGACGGATGTCAATTTTTGAGTGGTAAAGATAAATGTTGACCAACCAACACCCAAATATGTTCTTATATTTTTAATTTTTATTTAGTATTTTATTGTGTGCATTTATTTCTTTACTTATTTTTATAAATATATTGATTTAATCTTCAATGCTAATTAAAAAAACTAGCATGACGTTGTATTAGGATAAAAATATGAAAAGTATGCTATCGTAGTGTGATGATTTTTTTAATCAATGTATTTATGAAGACTAAAATGGAAAAAAAAAAAATATATATATATATATATATATGAAAATAGAGGAATCCAAAGATTAAAAGTGGCAAAATGAAGGGACTAAAGCTGAAATTTTTTTCTAATAAAATTTCCTAATTGAAGTGATTATATGAAAAACGAGAGATTTGAGTGCCGAAAATGTTCGTTACTTTTAGTTTTATTCATTCACTCCAAACACAATTATTCTCTCTCTCTCTCTCTCATTGAAAACCATGGAAAGGGGACAAAAATTACATGCGCCTTGGAAGAAAAAAAAAAGAAAAAAAAGAAAAAGAAAAATTTGCATGAAAATGAGGAGAGAGATTGAGATTACGGATTACTGAGAGAGGTCCCTGGTCTTCAAGATTCTGTAGTTGAGGTTATGGGAAAAAGAGAAGCTTACACCCAAAGCTCCACAGGCTTTTCCTCTCTCTCTCTCTTCAGTTTTTGCTTTCTTTATTTTCTCTCCAAGGCAGAGAAGTAAAGCATCTCCTCCCATCACACACTTCCCACTTTCTTCCTCTCCATTGTAAGTATAAACTCTTTTCTTGCCTTACAATTTAGCTGCTCTTCCCTTTTCATTTCCTTACACTATATTACTTTGAATGTCTCTCACTCTCTTCTCATATTTCTTTCCAAAATCTTGTCTAAAGTTTCGAATCTGTCTTCCCCCATTTTTTTGGTCAAATGATGGGAAATGGGTTCTTGTTTTAAGCTTCTTATCCATCTCAATCTTCTTTCTCATGCTTCCATTATTTTATGCACAAAACTCTTCCTTAAACTTGTCCACATTCTTGCCTCTGGTTTGCATTTACGGATTGTGAAGATGTTTCTGCTCAGCTTTTCTCAATCTGGATTCTCCAGAAAGTTTGTGGTTTTTTCTTAAAATAAAACCTTGTTTCATCTCTTTGTATCAACAATGTATTCTTTAATTTGAGTTTTCTGCTCTGGATGCTGAGTTTTGATTTTGATCATTTTATTTTCTCCTTCCTCTGGTTTCCAAAAGGCTATTCTTTCTTCTGGGTTTTCAACTCCCTTCAACTCCTGTCATTTTCTTGCCCTCTGGCTCTCAGATTCCCTGAAAATAAGCTGTCACTTTCAACTCTTTTGATTTTTCTCCTCTGTCCCTGTCCTGTTTTCTTTCCTCTTCTTTCCTCACATCAGTTGGATTTAAACCTGGTTTTCAAAATTTTTACCCCATTCCCTGAAGCTAAGTGATTCTTTCTTACCCAACATAACCTATTAATTTGATGAGAAATTTTTTCAATTTGTTCTAACATTTTGCTTTCTTCATTCCTGGAGTTTTCCTGGAAAATCAATTTCCTTCTCTAATCACACATTTGGCTTATACCCTCTACCAAAAAAGCTCCATTTTCCAAATCCTGGTAACAAAATGAGTTTTTTAACAGGGTCCCCCAAAAACTCTTGGCAGCCGATCATGACAGATGATACAACAGCTTCCAGTTACTGGCTCAACTGGAGGGTCGTTCTTTGCATTATATGGGTTCTGTTGACCTTAAGTTTTGCACTGTTCCTGATATGGAAATATGAGGGCCGTGGGAATAAGGAATGTAACAGAGAAGAAACTCAGAATGAAGAAGCTGGAGCTTTGTATGATGATGAAACATGGCGGCCCTGCTTCAAGGGAGTACATCCTGCTTGGCTATTGGCCTTCAGAGTATTGGCTTTCTCTGTGCTCTTGATGCTCCTCATTGTCACCGCTATGGTCGATGGAGGTGCCATATTTTACTTCTATACTCAGTAAGTTTCCTGGGATTTATAACAATATTGGAAGTGTAGAACTTTGTTCCTTTAGTGTTGTATGCAGTAATTCATGGCAGTTTTTTTTTGTGGTTGTGGTGTATGAAACAGGTGGACTTTTACTTCAATCACCATTTATTTTGGGGTAATTCCATCGTTTTCAAAGAGCCCTTTTTTTTTCCATTCACGTTCCTCTCTCTTGTCTCTCTCCTTTTTTCATTCTTTATTTGCTTATGAGTCGCCATTTTCTGTCCATAGCTTGGATCACTGCTCTCCCTTAATGGCTGCTACCAATATCAGAAGAAAGTTTGTGGTGAGAAGGTGGGTAATGTGGAAGGAGATGCAGAACAGGGTACTTCAGCAGCTGGCGGAGACGGTTCGATTACTTCAAATGCAGGGAAAAATCCATCCCTTGGTGAAGAACATCACCTCCGGCGCCAACCTGCTGGCTTTTGGGGTTATGTCTTTCAGATTATCTTCCAGGTTGGTGCATTATTGTTGAGGCATATTGGCCTTTACTTTTTCCAAGTTCAGAGATTTGATTCCCTTCTCTTCATTAGCTTGCTGAACTTTTTGCCCCTTCTGTTGTTATTGGAAGATGAATGCAGGTGCTGTTATGCTGACAGATTGCGTCTTTTGGTTCATAATTGTTCCATTTCTCACCATCAAAGATTACAACCTAAATTTTGTAAGTTCTTAACAGCTGCAAATTGAGTTTATGAAAATGCACTTGTGAAATTACTATTTACAAGCCCATGATTTTAGAAGTTACAATAACTTCAATTGTTGTGAGAAAAACTTGTCATCCATAATATAATCCAACCACATTTTAGGCACTATCAAACTTCATTGCTCTAAAGAGTTAATGTATTCATTTTTCATTTTCTTGGCAGTTGATAATAAATATGCACACAATCAATGCTGTTTTCTTGCTTGGAGACACCGCCTTGAATTCTTTGGTAAGTGATGAAACCAACTTCATTTTGCTTCTCTTCTCTTCTGTATCATAGCTCGGTTCTTATACATTACAACTTTTCAGCGATTCCCATGGTTTCGGATTGGATATTTCTTCCTCTGGACGGTTATTTACGTGATCTTTCAATGGATTGTTCATGCTTGTGTGAGACTATGGTAAAATCACTGGCCTCTCTCTTCTTTCCTTTTCAATTTGATCCTATTCATGTTGATACAGCAACGATTTCTCCCTGCAAAACAGGTGGCCATATCCATTTCTAGACCTCTCATCTTCATATGCCCCTCTTTGGTGAGCCTATTTATAGTCTTATTGTTCAACTCTGCTAGGCATTTTCATCAGAACTTCTAGTATTGAACTAATTGTCTTATGATTTTAATTAACGTGAAGGTACTTATCTGTGGCTCTTATGCATATTCCTTGCTACGGAATCTTCGCACTGATTATGAGGCTGAAACACCACGTATTTTCGACACGGTGCCCTCGATCGTATCAATGTACAAGGTAACCAAGGAAGGCCTGAAAGACATTGTTAAAATTCTCCAAAGGAGGAAAACAAGCATAAACGGGCCAAAGCAAACTCGATGTATTGATCCATAGGGAAAAGTGGTTGATGTATATGAGTTCTGCAGAAATACCAATCTTGATAGAAAAGAAAGAAGCAAAAGGTGCAAGGTTTTCTTAGGCAATTAGATTAACCATCTCAAAAGAGTTGTATGGATAATAGATATAACTTATATGTAAGTAACCCACAGGAATATGTTCTATTTGGTATAGAATATAAAGAGAGCTCAGCTTTGTTCTCTATGTGTCCACCATATCCATCCCTTTCAATGATTTGTCAATTTTCATTTGCCCTTTCTCTTTTCCCAATATGGGGATTGGATCCCTGCCTTGCCAGCAAGAAAATTGATAGATTAGATTCTTTGTATTGGAAAGACAATGTTCTGAAGTAATTTGTTCCCAAGTCATTTTAAATATGCAAGTGGAGACCAGTGGAGCATAAAGTGGCAGGGGGGGGGGGGGTCAAAAAGTGGTGTAAGAATAATAACATCCTCTCACTTTGGTACTTAAAGTGCTAGCTGCAAGGAAAAGTTTAGATCTATCCCCTTCTGCTTTCATTTTCCCTTAAAAACCCATCTTCTAGACTTATCCACTAATAAGAGGGTAATTATYGTATTCAAAGCTCATATGAGAAAGTTAGATGGCTTAGAGGTCTTAAATTCAAATCTTCTGGTAAGCTTAATACTAAAAATCTTTGATTTCTCCTAGGTTCGAACCTTAGGACAGGCACAGGTTTCCCTGAATATATGGGAGCAAAGTTCCGACTTCGGGATATCAAAAAAAGTAAAAATAAATAAATAAAGCTCATGAGGGCACTCTCACTAGGAGGGTATGCACCCAAATATTTCAACTTAAGAGACGTAATTAAATAAGTATTTTTACCCCAGAAGACAGCAGTCTATTCATATGGATTCATCACCAACACATCTATATAATTAAACGATGAATGTCGGTCACTATCTAAACAAAACTGGAGAGGAATTTCTGGAAGAAAGAATCAACCCATGATTGGCTTATAAAACAAATCTTTGAAGGCACAACCCTGCTTAGGAGGGGGGCCCTGGCCCGATGGCCCCAGAAAAAAAATAATCTACAAGGAAAATAAGAAGGCTGATTCCTAATGAAATGAGATTAAACGGACAAGGTGAAATATTTTTTCTTCCTGAATTGGTACTCGGTAGTCCCCAGGGATAACCGGCTTATCATCTTTGAAACCACCAGAAACTCCTGCAAAAATGGTCGAAAGAAGCAAGCAAAAAACCAACTATCCTGGTTGGACATGGTCTGTACACACTCAACTTTGACCTCGTTCTCGATATCTCACTGGCAAATGGGGAGGTGATGTCATTGAATCTACTTGTTCAAGCTTTCTCCAAGTCTCTCAATAGCAGCACCGACACCACTCTTTGATTCACCCTTTTGAACTGTATTAGGATAAGCAAGTGCTTGATTACCTTCGTTTGCTTTCTCTACAAGCTTCAAATGAAGCCAACCTGTCATTACACTGTTTTGTTTAGTAACAGCATCTACCCTTTTCCAACAAACCTAACCACCACTTTTTTTCCTTTGTTATATTTCATGTGGAAGAGGATTCCAAAAATCATTCTATAAAAGATTATAGTCATGATATAACTTTGGATAGCGAAATATATATGAATAGACTACCAAGAGGGAAGCAAAATGCTGCACCAAGGACAGATCCCAATGCAACGTTCCTGGCACGCCACTTGAGTGATCCTGGCACTGAGACGCCAAATAACAAAACAAGTTAATGAGTTGCAAGGTTAACTTAAAATAACTGTGTGTTTGTATCTTCACACATTTAAACTGCCCTAAGCTTCCAAGTAAAAATTAATAAAACCTGAGATATGGTACAACTCGGTGCAATTAGCTACAAGGAACAGCGAGCAAATAATAAATAATTTTCATTTAGTATAACTACTTACGTATTACACCAAATGTAGCAGCTGTGGCAGAACCAGCTGCAGCAACATTGAAAACGTCATGCACACCACGCTTCTCGGCTAGCAGATTTTGTAAACCATAGAATGCAGCTGTAAACATCCCAAGGCGCACACCACCAACTATTGAGCCTCGTGTAACTCGAATAAATCTTTTCTCCATTGCATCTCTGATTAACCTATATTGTTCACGTTTATCAGGTGTGCTACCCAGCTTCAATGTAACTTCTGCATCCTTGCTCTGCCAATTGCCATAGTGCTCTCAAATTTCATCCAGTTGGACAATTTAAATTTGAATAAACATAAAATAGAGAGTCATTTCAGAAAGGCAAATTGCAAATGATACTGAATAGATTGACTGGAGCGACTGGCATTTATGCATTTAGCATCTCAAATTATATGCCTAACACCCTTTTTTCCTCTTCTTGAGAATTCTCTCTTCTTTTTTTTTACGGCCTAGGATCTAATAGTAAAAAGTACAAAGGATTTAATGATAGAAACTCTCTTTTGATTATTTATTTTTGCTAGAAAACTCAGGGAAAATATTAGGTTTGAACAAATAAAACTTCCTTAAGTGCCTCGACTACCATGAAAACCCCCACCCAAAAGAAGCTAACAAAAAGCTTTCCAATTGTTAACAAACATGGAGAAGCTCTAGTTAAAAACGAATCTCTTTTGTGCTGATACAATCACCATTTGTTGCCTTTATGCATACTAGGATTACTACTCGCTAGTCTTAATGCATGAGATGATCAATTCGAGAGTTTCCATGATCAATACCTCCAAATATTTACATAACTAATGAACCTAAGTTTAGAATGAATGATGATGATATCAAGGAGCACATTATTTACAATATCCCACCGATGTTTCATTTCTTTTCACAACTTCCAAGCATTGAAGCAGCAACAAAACCGCAAAATTATATACTTCTAAAATGCCATTACAATAAAACATTAGGGGAATTCTTCCTTTTACAAAATTAACTTACCACCGAAGCTGCCGCTTCTTTGCTTCCTCCATAAAACATGCCTGCAAACACTCCAATGGTAGTTGCCGTACCCCAGTTCACCATTCCAGGCAATTTGTTAGTACCCTGGTTAAATGGACAACAAGAAGCGACCATTAGGTATGCGGTACACCGATCATATGGGTGACCAGAAAAGCCATTTCTAGATCCAGATAATTATCAACGAACGAAAATTTATTCCCGATTATACTTTAAATTTACATTGCCTCGTCGATTCATAAACTCCAAATCATTATAAAGAAAAACCTAATTCAGTAACCGGGTGGTGCTCGATGATCGCAAAAGAAATGGCCTTCGGATGATGAAAATGTAAAACACGAGAAATGCTAGTTCTGAAAGAGAAACTTACACTTGAGGCCGTTTCTTCGGATTTCTCGGCTGCTTCCATCGTCAAATAGATCTCTCGCTCTATACTTGAGTTAAATGGTAATTCTACTAAACCGAATTCCAGAGAAACATTGATCGCCGGCAGGAATCCTTTCTCCGTCTTATTAATAGATAGAACAATTAGCTCGAGTGAGATTCAGACACTGTCGGAAGTCGAGAGCCAAGCAGAAGCTGCTGAGCTTGTCCGGGGAAAATGCAGGGCCGGAGATGGCTTCAGCCGAGTCGCGCCGTAAATCAAAATTTCATATTCTTTTATGATTCTTATTTAAGAAATCCCTTGTTAGGGCATATTTCTAAATGAAATTTCTTAAAATATATTAAATTATTTTGCAAAGGAAATATATTAAATTATTTTTCCTTCTTTTATATTCTTAGAATATCATTCTTGTATTTAAATCTAACGCATTGTGTCATCACGTAACACTTTTGCTTTAGTCCTCAACTATATATATATATATATATATATTTCAAAAAATACCAAGGATACTAAATTTTAGGTAGATTACTTGACTATATTTATATTTTAGGTAGATTACTTGTCTATATATTTAAAATCCAGTTGGCAAAGAAACAAGTATGATATCAAATGTTAGGTAGTTGACTACTTTAGATGATAATTTCTTTTTTTAAAAGATACTTTGGATCATGATGGTTAACTTTAATTTATAAAAAAATTACTTCATGTATTTTTTAATTTGTAACAAGTTAATATTTAAACTTTTAGTTAGTACCAATTTAATCTTTATAGTTTAAAATTAATAATAATTTAATTCGTATCATGAAAAATCTCATCAAAATTATGTATCAATTTTTATGATATAATGATTCAATTTGGTAATTTAAAGACATGGTTTTTTAGTATAACAATTTATAAACACATTAGGTCTCTTATTAATTTATCAATCTACGTGTGTGTCTCTATATATATATATATAACTTAAAATCTTAATAAAGTTATATATATATCAATCTACGTGTGTGTGTCTCAATGTTACCAAAGTATTCTTCTGATCCAAAGTTCATATCTCACCTCATATTTTTATTAAACCATTTTTTTGAGCCATGCAAAGTTTCGTATTAAACTAAACCTAGTTAACTTATTATTTGTATTTAATTAAGTATTTATTTATAAGAGCATTAAAATGTATAAAGAACTAATAATATTAATTGAAACCTATTTTTGTTACTTTGGAGAGGCATTCAAATTATAACTCTAAGACGTATGTCATCAAATTTAAACCCGTTTTCATTCACTCACATCATTTTAATATATATTTTTTTTATTTTCAAAATATATCATGGTTAGTTGCATAAGCGTTATTCATGTAAGGGGTTGACAATAGACATTGACCTAAGTGGATGCTATATGTTGGCATTTATAGGCTATCTGTAAACTTTATTATAAGTAGGTGAACCTAATTGGAACACTAATAAATAAATAAAAATTGATGACTGCAAAAAATTAATAAAATAAAAAACTAAAATAGAATATAACAAAAATATTATTTATGCGCTGTCACGTATTTTCATGTTTCACTTTTCGAAGCATGAAATTTATTAAAGGGTAATTAATTAAATGGATGGTTCAAAGAAAAGTGAATAAAGTAGATGACCATTGTGTTTTCTAAAGAGAAGAGAAAAAAAAACCCATGATGACGAGCCAAATTTATAAAATCCCAGTGGTATTAGCCAAATTTTATCCTCCCACCATTAAATATTTGCATGACCTATTCTTTCATATCATAGATACAATTTCTTCTACCTATCTTAATCTTTTTTGTTCTATCTTGAAATACAAATATTTAGTAGACGAGATTTTACGGAAAAATATTTATTCATATTTATAGGAAGAACAACCATTCTTCGAATTTGAAGAGTGAGAAATCACTATTTATAAATTAATCATTTAATTAAAATAAATTTATTTATTAGAATCCTAAGTATCACCCCACTGGCCACTACTACATAAAATAAATGCAAAAACACAAAACTTTTAAAAAATTAATAAATTGGAGTACAAAGTTAGGAGTCAAGTATTTTGCTTTCAAAAGAAATGTACATGAAAAATAAAATCAACAATATAGTAATATTCCCGATTTAATAAAAATAGTCAACATTTTTTTAAAAAACTGGGAAAATTTCTGCTTTCGGTGAGAGAGAGAGAGAGAGAGAGAGAGAGAGAGAGAGA